TCTGGCTGAAGAAAGGCACTTAGAGAACGGAGACTGGGCTCAGGAGGTGCCCTAAGTCTCACAAGCTCTCCCAGCGTTACACAGCATCCCGTGTGTGTTCACGTGCTCAGTGCCTGTAGGCTCAGCTTTTACTTAAAGAGGAACCAGATACCGTTTCCAGTCTTCAGTTACACCAGGGGTCCTTTCAGCAGCTCAGGTCTGCTAAAAAAACAGGTGTGTGTCTGTCAGGAGTAGGTCCCTGCTGAGGACACATGTCCTCCTGCTCTGCCAGGGCAGGCCCTCGTGCCCGAGCCCACCTCCATAGGAGGGGATGTCCATGCTGTGACTGCAGTCTCAGCACGCTGCTCTCTGTTGCCTATCCCATCCCACTGGCCTGCCAATAGTGACAGGAGAGGGGCCGAAACCAGGGCACGGAGTGGGGGGTGATGCAGACCAGCGTGGCTGGAGCATCACTTGCTGTAGGCTGGGAGAGCAACCAGCTCAGAGCTGCTGAGCAGGGCACAGCCACAGGTCATTAGAGCATCCTCACCCCTGCACACTGCCGGGAGAGCCCTGGCTGAACCCTGGAGCAGGGGGGCTCCAGCTAATTAGTCACTAATTGCTTCAGAGAGGCAACGAGCGAAACACAAACCTGTGCATGCCTGTAGCAGAGTGACCTGTGGGCCCTGAGTCCCAGCCAGGCTGCACATCACTGAGAAAGGGTGGAGGGTTCATCTGTCAAAACAGAGCTGTAGAAGAGGTGTCCATCTCCCTGGAGCCTCCCCAGCCCCTCCGTGCCCCCACGGGACTCCCGGGAGCTCCCAGCCTCTGGCAGCAGCCTGGCAAGGCTCTGAGCCACGCTGCAGCAAGTGGCAAGCCCGGCTCATTTAATCTATTCAATTGGAATCAATTTCCAGCCACATGATTCGATTAGCCCTGGAGGGACAGCACTGGAGAGCAGAGGCTGCAGAGCATGGCCTGGCCCGTGCTCCAGCAGCCACCGAGCTGGGACAGGGGAGCGTGATG